ATTAAAATAATAATTTTATATTTAAATCATTTAAAATATATATCAAAATAATCAACTCTGTTTATTTATTTCCTTGCGATTCACGGCATTTCGCGGAGGAAGTTATGTGACGTATGGGACTTAACGTCTTCTGTTTTGACCAGTCTGCTACACCCCTTGTTTGGCCATATCTCCTATGTTAGAGAAAGGAAACTTCAGATGCAAATTCCGGCATGAAATGCCATGACAATTACCTGCAAACTGCTGTTCCTCAACAAGATTAAGTAATTAGCTCATTTCCCCTTTCATTCTTTTTTTTTTTTCAACAAAGCAAAGGATAATCATGCATTATCTGACAAAGCCATGGTTTCTTTACTAGAATCTACTCTTAGCCCTAATTGTTTAATATTATGGGTTGTGTTTACATGTGATGTCTGTGTACCTCAAAGTAATTAAAAAAGATATGATAAAAATAAAACAAATATATACACAAAAATTTATTAATCAGCCAATTCTCCACATATTATTACAAAGGCCAAAATAATACACTACTGGAAAACTGGGCAAAAACTACAAATATATATTCGACAGCCAAGAAGCTGTCGAATAAAATGACATATTCGACAGGAATGGTGTCGAATAAGGTTGATTGTTGATGATAATTGATTTTTTGCCACATATTCGATAGAAAACTTATTCGACACCATTCCTGTCGAATATGTCATTTTATTCGACAGCTTCTCGGCTGTCGAATATATATAATCGACAACCTGTTGGTTGTCGATTATGTTTCTTATATATTCAACAGCATTGCTGTCGAATGTATGGGAAACAACGTTGTTTCCCTGTATATTCGACAGTAATGCTGTCGAATATACTCGTCTTTAACCCCCACATCCCTCCTCCTTTCCCCCATTTCTTCTTCTTCCTCTACGGCAGATCTGGTTCATTTCTCCGACCCTGTTCTTGCCGGTCCCGCCGGATTCTGGCTTGTTGCCATCGATCCCCCTGCTTTGTGATCACCTCTAAGCCGGTGAGTTGGCCCCTGCGCAGATCTGGTGCTTTCTTTTTTCTTCTTTTTTTTTGTTTCCTTTGATTTACATTTCGGTATTTGCAGATTTTTTTGTAGATCCGTGCATTTTGGTGCAAGATCCATCACCTCTAAGCCTCCACGCGCCTCCATCCTTCCTTTTGTAAGTTGCA